CAACACCAGAATTATCGTTATTATCAGTAACCTTTCAACAATGTAGAATGCTTCACTACCATTATTTTAAAACCCTGGAAACTGTTAATCATGTGATAACCACGCCAATTGATTATTATCGGATGTAAGCTTTTTTTAAGAAAGTTTCTTATTTTTGTCATACTCTCAAACCAATTTTAGCTAAAACCCAAAACATTATTTCTTATCTGAATTTTCTCAGTAAATGTTGAGTAATTATTGTTCCAGACATTCAGCCACGTTTAAGGCTTTAAACTAATTGATTCCCGACACCATATCCCGGTTCTTTTAATTTTTTAAGAAATTAAAAGCGACGGAAATCAATTATCGGCCTGATTTTGGTAAAGAATATTGAACTTGACACGAAGACTTGATAATCACGTCTAGTTGTCTAGATTAATGTGTCGGAGGTGTGTCTGAAATCAGCATCTATTATAACTTTATAGAAAGTAAATGGAGTAATTACTTTTAAATAATTGGACATAGTAACTGCGAGTTTATTATTTGATATCAATATTTCAAGTTATAACATTCGGTTGAAAAGTCTTTTCCACTGATCCAAAAGTGTTTATTCAACATTTGATCAAAATGATTTCCACTAGTAGTTCTCAGTGTTGTTCAGATTGTATAAGTGTATAAAGCGAATCACGATATCAATGGATTGATATATTTGTCAAATGCTCACTTCGATGTATGAATGCAACACCAGTTTCAGAATTGTTTCGGGTTACAGTCATTGGTGTCCAGCTTCTATACTTTTCGTTATAAATCTGTACCCCTCTCCCCACCCCCTCCAACTATTTTCATGCTGAATCTATTCCTTTTCTACCAAGGAAGTAATATAATATGACCCAAGCGGTTTAAATCAGCTGGTTTGAATCGATCAAGACCAGAAGAAGAATAATGAGGTGTCGTCCTCTGACCAATTCCATGACCAAACAAAGGAATCAAATAAGTCACAATCCTCTCGAAATAGAACATTACATCTCACTTAGGACATTATAACATCATTATTTGTGACATCTACATTAGTATGATTGTTCTTTTACTAACAGTACAGTTAGTACGGGTCTACCGCCATTCTTCAATAGATGTAATAATAACATTTTTGGATAGCGTAGTCTGAAATTAGTCGACTCGCCTTGCCTCTGTTAATTGTAAAGGAGTTACACCATAAACCAAACTCTGCTGGTTTACAATTGGTGAAAAATGAAATTATACTCAGATTTTCATTTCTATCTCTAAACGCCGTACAAATTCTTTTTTTTAGGAAATTGGTAAATCTGGAAAAACATCTTGAAATAGTTTGAAACTCCCGTGTTTATTAATATCGAACTTTGTATGTTGGATACAGTAGCACACGCTGCTATACTTGAGTGTTGGTTTTCTACAAAGTCCGATGACCTTGAATTTTTCTCATAATTCAAGTCAATCCAGCTGTAAATGATTACGGATAATCTGAGAAAGATTATGAGGTTTGGCCAAGGACCAGCTAGCAGAAAGGATCCTTTGTGAACCTAAGTTGGTATCCTTTTTAAAATATAGTTGTCGTCCTTCGTTAATGGCAAACCAGAGATTCGGACTAAGTTAAGATATCAGCCGATGAATATATCAAGGAAATTATCCGGCGACACGACCTGAGTTATGTAGTTTACGGATTTCTAGAAATTAGCGTGGGATTTTCTATGAATATTTTTTCTATTAAGACATTATATTGAAATTGAATTGAATTTGAATCGATGCCTTTGATGTTCACGTGCTATTTAATTTCACTTTGGTTTGTCATTTCTAAGACGTCATATCTATACGGTATGTAGAGAACTGACATTGTTTTTTTTTTTTTTTTTGTCAAAATGAACTTTCAAGGCCATCATTTCAATCCTGTGTACATCCAAAACTAGTAGACCAACATATTTCTACCGTGTTTCACTGCCCCGGCAAAATTTCTCTCATTAGACACTGCATGGCGTTGCTCGTCCTTAATACCTAAAGCAGGCGTAGGAGAGAAGAACGTTTAATCAGTGAACGATGTCAAAGAACTATAGTAACTATTTAGACGAACACGATAGTGAAATAATGATCTTGTTCTTTATAGTAATGTTTCAATATGGCACCACAGGGAACAATAAACTTTGCTTGATAACTATGTTTATTATCAATAAAACAGCATTGAAATGGTTTTGAGATTTTACAACTTTTATATCCAGTATCAACAGACAACTTAGGATTGAAAACTTTCTGTGGAACTCATTGTAGTCTGCAAATCCTTATTGGAACGAATCTGTAAGTGGAATTCGACTTCCGGGATGGTTAAAGTGATAAAGTGCCACTTCAAATTAAGTTCTGTTACCTGCATTCGACCCACTTATGTTTTATTTCCTTATGATTATGGGCGATTTTCACCGCAGTTGTTTGAACACACTCTATCAGTTGCTGGGTAATGGTCTAAGAACCATCTGATGGATGCCAAAAATAACATTTGTAGGTCAGCGGCGATATTAAGGCTGGAGACGAAGAAAGAGAGCATATAACTGCCCGTGAGACCATCTTGACCCTTTTGGGCCCCTATGTGGTCCTCTCACCTTCTCAGAAACGTCACTGTACAAGCTCCGAGTTGTCGTTAACCACTATAGGAAGAGTTCAATCTAAATGAAGGGTTTGGTGTTTAAGTGCCTTACCACACATCTTATCGAATTCAAAATTTTATTTTAAAACTATCTTTACAAATAATCTCCGATTTTAATGAATCCAGACGCCATTCTGTTTTTGGAAATGCACTTAAAATTTGATAATGTGTTTTCACGACTGTATATACCGTGCTTTTTGAGTCGGATAGTAAGAAAACAGATATGTCTATATCAAAACCATCATTCATAAGACTTTACTCGTAATGGTCTCGAATGATGCAAAGTTAAAGGAATAAAGACATGTGAAATTGCCTTAACCGACATGCATAGAGCATTATTTCATTTATTCAGAAGGTTTGTCTGATTTCCCTTACCTTAGTAATGTATAGAGATTCCCAGACGCCTCTGGGTCTTTTAATTCCACTAAAACTAGGAGTTTTATGATGTCATTATTGAAAATGAATAATTTATTGGTGCCAAAAATGGTTAAGTGTTTTTATAATAACAGGAACCAAACATATCCGGCGGAAAACCTCTTTTCATCCCTTTAAGTAAAACCATTCAGCAAAAGTCACTTCCATGGACAATCTCTCATTGAAGGCGAGACCTACGACATCATAATAGTATAACATGCAAGTAATGATGTTAGTGGCGACAGTCTAATATTCAATCGAATTGAAAAAAAAATGTAGACGAAAATATACCTCAATTAACCCGAGAACTAACAGCTGGTCAAAACTGAACGTCACTTTCTTGAAGAGTAATCTAAAATAATCTGTGAGGTTATTACTTATTATGTTATATACGGTAAACAGCTTTTTTAACGATCTGTGTTAATATAAAAAGTGGAATCACTCAAAACACCGACTCATTTAAGTGAAATTCTTCAGCTTTGATGTGTCTTGGACATCTAGACTTAGCCTATCTTTGAACCTCGTTTACAAATTAATAAAAAGGAATTAATGATTTAATAGATTCTGTCTGGATGAAAGAGTATCAAGACATTCATTAAGAACATCAAGACGTAGTAAGACAAGGTAATCACTGTCATAAAGGATTAATTATAAGCTTGATGGCAGATTAACGTGAATATTGCCCTGATAGAAGAACATTAACATAAATATTTGTCTCTTTCGTTTCAGATTGCTAAGAAGAAACAAGTACTTAGAAATTTGAAGGAACCATTCATGAAGTGATACCATCAGCAGATGTCGCGGCGATAGATTACAGAAGAAACAACACATTCTTTAAAAATAGTAACCTCAAACAACGAGACCAAATGTTTGTAACATATCATTAAAGCCTTCAACCGATATCTGAAAGTGGTTATCACTAAAATTAAATGTTAATACTATCAGGAAACGAATAATTAAATAATTAAATTAAGTCTGTCGAAACTCGAACTTTATCAAGACGTAGAAAACAGCTGTTAACAACTTGTTACAACCACAAGCCACAGTCTGTTGGTCAATTAAAACTAGGAATGAATATTTATATGAAACGAAAATATATCTGTGATATATAAAATCAACACAGACGTGTTTTTTAATTAGAAAAAGATTGAGAAATTTATGATGATTTTTGTTGATAATAGTGTAGAATGTAAACAGACGCATCAAATATCTTCAGTATTTCAACTATGTAATTTTGAAAATCTGGAATCCATCTTTCTTAGTTTATGACTATGGTGAAGTGTGTAACATATACCATACAGTGTATTAGAAAGGTATATCTTGATATTCTGAGTAACGTGGTTGTAACCCACTTAATATTTGACGAGAAAAAAGAAATTCAGTAATTTACGACGAGAGGTGAGATGAGTGTAACAGTTTCAATGAAAGAATCTATTCTAACTACGGAAACAGTGAACGAACGCTTCCTTCACATAATGATGTATTTGAAGTAGACGATGTGTTCTATAACTAGAAAAGCTAATGCAACCTAGACGCGGTCCTCATCTTGTAATCATATCGTCTAATTGGAATATTCGACCAAGTTGATGAGAAAGTAATTTGAAGTAGATCTAACCAGCCTTACACGTAATGCGTATACCTACAACAACTCTCCTTTTGTCGACTCATACAATTTAATTCCCATATTACCACCAGGAAAATAACACATGTGTATTATATACATAGTGGGGTGCTATATTCGTGGTGGTTGTGTTCATATATGGAAATAAATTCTGAAATGGTCGAGGATAATGAATCGGCCATCTTAACAGCAACCGGAAGTATTTTTGAGATTTACGATAATTACCAAGATGGCCGACTCTGGCTTCCGGATACGGTGTATATTATTCGAGGAGTATCGCTTATAATTATAAGTGTCTGTGGTGCTTTGTTTAATGCGTTTATGGTAATTGCTATTGTTCCTAATAGACGTCTACGAACAGTTCGGAATGTATTATTAGTCCATTTAGGTTCGGTGGGTTTAATGGCGTGTGTGATAACAACCTTCGTACCGGCTATAGTGGTTTTAAATCGTGAATGGATAGGTGGCAATGTAAGTTGCCAAATTTATGCGTTCATCAATTCCCTGTTAACATGTGTTTCAGTATGGACTATAACAGCTTTAAGTTGGGATAAATATCAAACGATAGCAGCGCCGTTACATCATTCCCTTACAGCAACTTTTAGACGTATGTCCGGCTGTTTCCTCACCTTCTGGGTATGTGCAATATGTCTGTGTTTACCGCCGTTAATAGGCGCTAGTGAATATGCTTTACATCCTGCTATGGGCTTGTGTACTGTACGGGGATCTACGTTTCACCATCGTTGGTACACCATGGCCTATATCTGTTGTGCGTTCTGTATTCCGTTGGCATTAGTTGTGTATTGTTATGCTCATATCTTTAGGATCGCTCGAAACCAAAGTAGCCGAATTGCCGCCACAATGGTGCGCATGGTCAGTTTAATTCAGGCCCCAATAGCACCAACAAATCCCTCCGCGTTATCCATGCGGGGAACTAAAGCTATGAGTACTATTTTACAGTTAGTTGGTTCCTTTGTTTTGACCTATATTCCATACAGTGTTGTGTTAAGTTATGAAATGTTTAAAGGTGATGTAGCAAATGGTGTTATTGTTTCCATATCAACCACATTCTTTCAAGCAGCGCCATTTACCAATGCCGCCATTTATGGACTGAGAAACAAGATTCTCAGAGCGTCGTTTTCTCGATATACTCGACGAAAAATACAACATTTCTGTCACAAAGACCATCGCCGTGCTAACAGTTTTAAATCAATCAAAAAGTCTTCTTCAAGTATTAGACTTCCTAACCGGAGATTGAATCTTCAAAATGGAGGTAGAGAAGCTCTCAGAAGGACGCATTCTGTTCAGATTTGTTTACATGAATTAAAGGAAGATACCCTCCTGACAGTACCAACTTTACCTCGTGCCCATTCTTATACTGGTGTAGCTAATGGTCAATTACTTTCCCCTTTAATTAGTCAGATGAACGAGACAGTTTGACCTTATTCGTATGTTTAGTCAATGAATGTAAGTTGTAGGGACTAAGTTTAGATATAGTACACCGGCTATCTGAGTTTTTTGAAAATTTACCGCTTGACCAGAGCGGCTTAACAGATGACTGAAATTAAAATTTGTTGCAAGATATTACCGATTCGTCCAATTCATTTTGATATATTGACTGAATTGATATACCTATACTAATTAACTGAAGTTTCTTCGTCTAAAATAAATGCATTATAACTTTGGCAATAATTGGCACCCTACCGAGTCGAATGATTTGATATTACACTGCAACGTCTGGACAAACCAGAATTATATCATATCACACGATTTTTATATTCAAATAACTGGTTTATGAAATCAACATAAGAGAGTAAGATGAATGTAAATTATTGAAACGTTGGAGTCATAAATTAGAACTATTAGTACACAATCATGTAGACATACATGGATGCGATTTGGTTTTGAATTTTAAGTTAATCGAATGGTTGAATGTGTGCCGGTTTAAAACTTGCTGGACTCTTATCCACCTTGGAGAACTATTTTTGGCAGATGATTACATGATTTGTCCAGAAAAACAAAATAGCAAACGCTTTGAAAGATATCTAATTCTCTATTTTGAATTAGAATGAAGTCACATGACATGTTCATTTCAGAAAGTTGAGCAGCTCTGCTACCTCTTTTTTTCTTAGTTTTTTGAGCTTGCGAATTGTTACATGGATTTTTCCTTGCGATATGCAACTCGGTTGTCTACAAAATGAAAACGCTTAGTTTTTTTTCCATTCTGATTCAGTGCGTCACAGAATCATATTATTATATTCCCAATGGTCAAATAAGAGTCAGCAATTTTCAAACATTTGTGAATGAATGGTTGAGTGATTTGATTGTATGGTGCCGGTATGTACACAGATATTTACAAGGTCAATTTATAACAAACTACGTCTAATACCTTGACATCATAAGACACTTTTCCTGTATCATAGAAGTTGATAAATTCAGCGATATAATTATGTAGGTTGTAAGCTTCCTGATGCAGCCTATAGTATCAGAGCTCTCGAAATAAAGACTTTGGTTGGCCGAATAATCCAATTTATAAACTTCTGTGATACACGAAATTGCCTATTGGTGTCAAGGTATTAGACGTATTTCGTAACACCTCGACATTGTGAAATTGTTATGTACAAGATTATCATATCATTGCTCAATGAATCTCAAGATGACATGATGTTATATCCTATAGTCTATCTGAATACTTGCGCAATATATTTGTTATATTTTGCTCATTAAAGTGTACAGTAAAATTATTTATTATCAATTTTTTATTGTTGTAAATTTGTTATTGATAAAACATTATTTAAAATAAAAATCATACAACGAATGTTATTATGTCTCTACACCACCACTTTTAATGCTAGGGGTAAATAATCGGCCGAAAATTTTTATCCTGGCAGATCGTACGAGCGTTAAAATCTTCGTCGACATGAGCTGGCACACCAAAGTATTTGTAGCGATTTTAGAATTCGTCGCGATCGGCGATAATTTACGCTCGTCTGCCCCAGCATAAAAAAAAGCGTTGTCAATACATAACACCAATTTCAAAAACATTTAGAATTTTTAGATTTTCCATTACATTAGGTGAATAGCGGCAAAAAATTTATAAAATAGTAATAAATTTAATGGAATTTTAAAATATTTAAAAATTTAGAAATGTCAAATATTTTTCTTTATGTTTTTTAAAATCAATATTAAGTTAATTTGATTTTGGTTTTTATAGTGATTTAAACTTCTGCGGTTTTTTCGATATTTCAAAGTCGCTCGATGTAATTATTGGAATTTTCTTTAAAAATTCTAAGAAAAATCTTAGAATTACAAAATATACCTCTATTTCGAAATGCTCAACCTAAAAACAGTTACATAAACGGAAGCCCATGTCGACCTTGCGACAGACAGATTCTGTATAAGCAATTTGAGCCATACTGTCGACAAATTGGGGTACCTCTTTGGGACTTTTTCATTAACCAGGATTTTTTCAGCAGTGTTTAAGGCAGTTTCTGTGTAGACAGTCATAGATTGAAACCGTCTGTTATTGAGAATTGGCTTACATTGAAATCCTTTTAGTATCAATTGATACGTCATTTTCTTAAAAGTTTAAATGACCAATTACAGTAAATCCAATTTCCGTATTGTTAGCCTATTCCACATGCCATGGAAGTAAGCGTTTTAGACGGTCATTCTGAACATTAAATTTAAAATCCCAAACTTTGCCAATAAGAGTATGTATTCATCGGTGGACTTACCTGGGCATCCCTGTATAATCTGATAAAGCCTTAAACATATATGCAGGGGTTCTGTTGTATAGTTATGTTACCAGGTAGGTCCACTAATTAATATATTTGGCCAAGTTTGATATTTTGAATTTTATGTTTATGTCATTATAAAAGGTAATATTCCTTTAATATATCATGCATATACAATTATACATTACAATAACAGTAGAGTTTTGTACTACAAAAGAAGAATAAAACGTATTCACATCAAGGAGAAATTTTTATAAATGGATAACATATTTTCACCGGCTTGTCATTCTCACATTGTTATATTATTATTATCACCTGTGGTTTATATTGTCTGTATACATGTTACATTTTTTCCTTTACTGGGTCATAATTTAAGGTAGCCTCACATTTAATGAGAAAAAGGTTAAATTGGTCAACTCTTTGTACAGGTCGTGTTCGATATGACGTTATAAAATCTAAAGACCAAGACCAAGCTGATATCGAAATATTTTGTACAAAAATCGTAGACTCAAAGGTAAATATTTCCTTATATATAAAAGAATCTATATGTATAGGAAATTTGAAAGTTGGATTCCATAGAAACCTCGCTGTGTGTCGTATGGATTTAACAGTCAAACTCTATACCATTGGACCAGAAATGAAACTGTTGTTATATCTTTCCAGTTATAGTCTGCCATATCAATTACATAGGACGCATGAAACATTTCAATAATTTACATGGCTTAACCATCTGTATGCGTTGGACATGTAGAACGTGGCAGAAAACAAATTACTGAGGGGCAATGTCCTGGGAATAGAATATCTTGCCAGAATCACTTAGTGCCACAATCGTGAATCTGTTTCAAACATCATTCAAATCACAGTTGGTTTATATATTTTCCATAATTCATGTTCATTAAATACTTACAGATATATGCCATAATTCATTTAACTTCTATAACATTGAATTCAAAGTTTAATCTACTTTATAACAAAACAGCTTGAAACTCAGATACGTTAAATTGAAATTTAAGTAAATCTATAATCTACTTGACATGAAAAGTTTTTCGGTGAGTTAGACGCATGCTCGCTAAAATGAAGGCCAATGGTTCCATCCCGGCATAGGTCAGACAATACCTTGGTGCCTTCTAGTTTACCTAGGCACCAGCATAACGGCATCAAAAGGGAGTACTTAAAGGGCCAATTGTGAATGGTATTGATTCATGATAACTGCAATGGAATCAAAATTAGAATCTTCGTCGTCTGTTTAAAATGTTTGTTTGAGGTACTCAATAATTTAACTATGCTTATGATAAGAGATAGTAAAAGTTATATAGGTAAGGGACCTGGAAAGAGATACGTGATCTGCATGGTACTGTTTTAAGTCGCAGTACTGAATCTAAAAAGTTGGAATAGACTAAGCTGGGTCTATATTTTAAGCACCTTTATAACCGTCGTTACTAGATTCTGATTCAGCTTTCCAACTATACTAGCCATCTGTTTGACCAATCGTACCATAGTCTCAGAAACGGGATTTGTTTTAGCTAAGCTAATCAGTAATAGTGTTCATAGCTCACCATTTCAATTTTAACCTTCAAAACCATGTATGTCCAGAATTATCCAAGTTTGAAAGATAAAATAACGACAAGTCTTTTATGAGATATAGAAGACATAATAAAGATATAGAGATAGAAAATAGTTTAAATTTCTTGATTGATGTATTATTTGAAGAGATAATGCGAATATCGTGCAGTTTTAGAACTTCTGAAGACTATTAACATATATATATATATATATTCAAGTCGCAAATCAACGCCAGTAAATGGCAAACCATGGCCTTTAAAAGACGTTTATCCAGATTGATGATTCGCGGAATATTGTTTTTAACTTTAATTTCATTAAACCCTTGTCATATGAAATAATAAATGGCCATTGGATATAATAAGTTAGCAATATTTTTTGAGTTAATATAAGAAAGCTTGTAGACTTAATTGAATTCTTTTTCTGTCACGTGAAAGAATTCATCACTGACATGTACTTGTTCCTCAATGAAAAATGGCATGTACCTCAGGAGAAAAGCCTGTCCACAGTATCACCATAATCACGTCCGATATCAACACAAACATT